TAGGGGGTATAGGGTATCTATACTTAGCCCCGATTCCAGGATAGTTTAACTAAGCTCTTAGGGTCGTATTCTCCCCCTAAAGCTGAGTAATTATATCGCGAATCTGCTAAAGGTCGTTACTTCCTCTAGTGGCAGTGGTAGGCGTCGTGGTGCTTATAGCGTTCGTGGTACGGTTATTATTCGATATATTAGAAGAGTGGTTACTGGCTACTTCGTCGTCTTATTAAGGTTATTCTAGTCCTTCCTCTTCGTCGGAGGAACTAGATTCTTCAGACGATAATTCTTCTTTAGATAAAGTGACTTCTTCTTCCTTAGGCGAAGTAGCTTCTGCTTCGGGCGTACTACTTATTAGCTATTAAGGTTAGCTTACCGAATAGGATCGATTAAAATATTACGACGGCTTCCGGCCCTTTATAGTATAACGGATAATAGGGGATTAGCGTCGGGGTTTTAGTTTAAAATAAGAAGGGGATATTAACTAAAGAGTAGTAACTATCGTTTATAGTATTTAATCGTAATTACGTCGTAAAGACTAGGCGTCTTCTTTATAAGGTAGAGTCGAGCGTAGACTACTAGTCCAGGTAAAGACTTAGATTAATCGATGTTTTGTTCTCTAATAGAAGTAAGACCTAGGATATGCTGGTATATATATCTACGGGATCACGGGTATCCTGGTAATCTCCTGGTTCGGGATCACGCCGGATCACTTCTCGGACTAAGTGACCCCTGGTGATCCCAGTGATCCTCCTATACTAATAGGTTCCCTGTGCGGGTGCACACTATACCGGTTATCCATCACGTAACCCGGCACGTGATATCGTCCTAAGTTATCTTCTGGTTACGCCCTGGTGCGCTGACCGCCCTAGTACGTTATAACCAGTATGTCCTTGGTATATGTTAGGTCTGCTGGCCGTAACAGACTAATAGTCCTAGAGCTAGAGCTGCTAGAGTTGCTGAAGCCCCTGAAATAGAGGCCTGGGTAAGGCCTTTTTTCGCCTTTACAGCCTCGCTATAAAGGGGTTTAGGTAGTTCTATAAGCCTGCGAACTGCTTAGGCTAGTTCGTCGACCTTCTATTCGAGGGTAGGGGGCTAGGAGGGTTTTAGTACTCCGTTAATAGTAGATTTAAGCCCTACAGATAGGGCCTTAATCTAGGGGACAGGGTTAAGGGTATAGGCCTATTAAAGTAGCTGAAGAGCCTGTTAGAGTAGTTTCTTAGTCTATGCCTTACTAGCGGAACTAGTCGACTTCTGGGGCTTAGCCGAGGTTTCTCCAGGGGCTGTCGCTATTCCAGGCGCCCTTTTAGCCTATTTAGAGGCTAAAAGGCTCGGTTTTTTAGCAGGGGGGCCCCTAGAAGCAGGGGGGCCTTAGAGGGCGTTTCGAAAGCGCCTTCGGCTTCCGAGGCCGAGGGGGATTCGATTCGGGTCCTAGAGAATCGTCTAGGGGTCGGCATAAAGGGGCTAAGATGCCTTTTCGAATTCAGGGGCGGAGCGAGGGTTAAATTCTCTATATTAGAGGTATTACCTATATCCACCTCCCCTAGGCTCTCTATAGTTATAGTGGTGTTAGGGGCGTTAGGGGCGTTAGGGGCGTTGTTATGGCTAGCGTTATGGCTAGTGGGTTATTGTTTATAGAGGTCGGGGGTGCGGCTCTGTGCGGCTAAGCCTGCTGCTTTGTTAGCGTGGGCGCACGGGCCATGTTAGACTTTTCCACCGCACGCGGGGAAAAGTAAGGCTATTTCCAGGCATTTTCGCACTCAAAATACGCCTAAATTAGCGCCTACGCGATACGGGGCTATAGATAGACATATACAGCTTAAAAGGAGCTATCGATTAAGACAGGTTTTGAGTGGTTTAGGGCGTTTGCGCGTACAACGTAGGTCCCCCCACGTGAGTTGTAAAAAGGATGTCTAGTATAGCTATAGACGTTAATTTATTAAGGTTATCTTATATCTTAGTAATTCTTATTGCCATAATTCCTTACTATATCTTAATATCGACTATTCTGCGTTCTATCGCCTATAGTTTACGAGTTATACTTTATATATTCGTATCGGCGAGTATTCTAATATTATTAATCTTCTATATATAATCGTCGTAGCAGTGGGTAAAATTACTTTATATAGTTACCTTAAGATTGTCACACTATCGCTATAACTACCTAATTTGGTCTATAAACCTATATTTAAGATCGAATACGTCTACAACGGTTATACTAGGGTACGATACAACTTGACTAGTTACGAACGTCGTTTACGTATTTATACGTATCTATATAGGTGTATTTACCCGAATGCTTCTAATACTGCCGGTATTCGTTATTTATTATCCTTTATATTATGTATTTATAAAATCATTATTATCGCTAGGCGATAGAAGTCTTTTACGCTGCCTTTTTAGAAACTATTATACTGCTATTTAATAACCTCTTAGACGATTCTATACCGGTTCGGGTATTTAGCTAGTTAATACCGATTATACCGCTATCATATAGTGCTAAGACGATAATATAATACTTTAGGGCCTTATTATCTATTATTATTTTCGTTTTTAGTCTATCTAATAGATCGTTTAGTTAAAGAGTATAGATCCGATTAGTTAATTAACTCTAGTAGTTAGATACTAGGTAATAGATTTATCGGTATTAGTAATTACGAATCGGTAATCGGCGACTATACGTTTTACTAGTTTCTCGGAATACGGTTATATTCCCGTGGCGGTTATATTTATATCGGTAGTGGTGATTATTCCCGTAGTATTAGTAACCGTGGACTACAAATTTATATTTATCCATATCATAGTCTACGGTATAGCAATCTACAGCATAGTTATCTATCCTAGGATAGGTGCTCCAGCACTATCTAATCCGTATAAGCTACAGTCGTTATCTCCGCAAAGGAGTCTATTTTTATTACTTATTGTAAAGCCTCCTGTTATTATTCTCTATCGTCTATTATCCGTCACTATATCCGGATCCTAATTTACGTCTATAAAGTCTATATCCTCCTAATAACAATATTTAATTATAATAGCTAGCGCTCTCTTAAAATCTATAAAGTATTATTATTGTCTAGTTAATAGTTTTTATTATTGATACGTTACTAAACTATAGCCTACTTATCTTTGTATTCTATAAACCTTCGCTACTCTCCCTTTATCTGGATATAATATGCTACCTACTATACCTCGCGGACGTAAGGGCTATAATAGTCCGTTACGGTATCTTAGACGATGTTTTACAATTTATTCTTATCGTTACCTACGACCGTAGCCTAGCTTATATAGAAAGTTATTATAATACGTCTCTCCTAGACTATACGCGCCTGTTATGCTAAGAGGAAAAGCAGTATATTATAAAACCACTTATACTATCTATAGTTCTTATAGAAATATTCAGAAACCTTTTAGAATCGCTATATATTCGTCTTTACCGTATTAATAATAAATAGCCTCTTATTAACGATATTAGGGTCGACACTAACAGCATCTATTAACTACGACGCTATATTATAGAACTATAGTATGCCAGAAAACTAGCGTATAGGTTAATCCGTACTTATAGCCGCTAAAGTTAAGGAGTGTATAGTATAAGTAGACTAGTTACCTTAAGTGCGTAGGGAAAAGTATACTATAAGAGAACGTGTATGTAAAGAAAAGTGGTGTAGTGGATAAGAAGAAATAAGAATTATATAAGGGTAGCTTTCCCTTAAGAACTATATCACCGAAAAGATTAAGGCGTTATAGTTAGATTATAGTACGCGTAGGGTTAAAAGCCCTCTTTCTTTTCCTAACGTTTTATAACCTGTAACTGAATAAGCCTCTATAGATTTAATCCATCTATATCTACGGAAGGTTGGCTTTATTAATTACGCTACCTATTAGACCCGGCCTAATATCTCTAAAGCCGCTTCGAGGCTTACCGAATTTAATACTAACCCGGTAAAATAGTATCACGATACCGTAGATACGTGTTTAAAGTACCTCGCCTCTACTAAGTCCCTATACCTCTATTTTAGACTACGTAATAACTACTTATAGCACGCAGTTAGCTATACTTTTCACACGGCCTTTAGGGATAACCGTAAGACTTAGTATAGTTCCTAAGGCTATACTATATTATTATTTAGACGCCCTATAGTCTAGAAGGTAAATAGGTAAATAAGCGTTATAACCTCTAGTACTAAAGCCGAGCTTATAGCACTTTCTACTACTATTAGGCAGTATATCGCGATATGGCGTTTATTTAAGGACCTAACCTTAACCTTTAAGGAGGAACCACTAATGATATACTATTATAACGACTAAACGAGGATCCTATTAGAAGCTTTACGCCCTTAGGTTATATGTAGATTAAAGTATCTAGATATCCACGTCCTTGAAATCCGTTAGATCGTTTAATAGAGGCAGGTCCTAATCGTATAGATCTTTACCTAAGACATAGTTAGCGATAGGCTAACTAAGGTACTTCCCCCGCAGAAATATAAGGCGGTTATATATCTATTAAGAATACAGGTCCTAAGCTAAGGGGCTTAAGGTAATTTATAAAGGGCGCGGTGCTATATTTAAAATCTATAGCCTAGATTACCCGTGGCTTTAGTACCCTTAGATTATTATTTAGGTACCTATTTTTAACGTTATGTTTTAGGGTTAATTTAACTACCTGTTTTTACACGTTTTTAATGTTTTTAGGCATAAAAAGAACGCGCTTTTTAATAAGCCGTTTAACCGTTAGATTAATATCTAGGCTCTATTTTACCCTGGATTTACGGCTTTAATTAAGCAGAATAGTCAGGATTAATCCTACAGTTCTAAGGGGGTATATTAGATACCACCACACACTTACCGGGGTATAACTTACGCTATTTATATACTCGGATAGAATACTACCGACCGATATATCTATATCGATTTCCCCTGCTTTTACCTTACAGTTAGATATTTCCGTAAAGTACCTTTTACTCTTCTTTAATACACACATATCTTTTGCGTACCTTATTTCTGTGCTGACAGTGGGTTATAAGTTATGCATTTTTCCGCCATGATAGGAGGATTTCCCAGGTCGTGAGCTTTCGGGAACGGGGCCTTAGTCAGGCATGGTCTGTGCCCATGCGACAAAATAAGTGTGGATATATAGGATCAAGGTACTCTAGAAGTCTGACATAATGTGGTTGGCCACACCTCGATAAGGTGGCTGGCTCTAGGCATCTAACACCTCCAGAGCCTTTTGTTGTAAATGCAGGACCATCTTCTCATCACGTCGAACAAACTTCATCCAAGCAAATAATATATCATGAGCACCTTCGACAAACCAGTCCCAGCATTATCTCCAATTGCCTCGGCTCAGTGATAAGAGGCCTGCAATACAATCTATATCCCCTCTCTTGCTAGGGCTCATTTCCTCGCCCATGAAGCTCTTAACATCTTCATCCCGTAAAACACTTTGAGTCGCCTTCTGCGGGTCTTGGGACATTTTCCCTTGGTTGCCAAATCCTTGTTGTAAGGACGGTGCCGGGGTACATCGACGCCTGAACAGCTGACCTGACCTGTATTGGACGACGCCTCTCGGAAGTTTTACATTCCCTGAAAGAGACGGCGTAAATTCTCGGTTCTCCGGCATGTTTTCTTGGCTTGGAAATGGTGTCTGGCGGAGAGGCGGATTCCTATCCTCTCCTGGGCCCCTGTTCTCTTTATCCGAGTCGTCTGTAGACTCATGAACAAAGGAAGGCTTCGACCCTTGCGATGCCGCGGATGGTGACAGTCGGCGACGATCTCTGGAACCCATGAACGGCACAAGGCCGTCTGACGATGTTTGGCCGAAAAATGCTTTCTTAACTTTTCGATCTTGTCCGAGACGCTGAATTGGAGGAATATTACGTTTGGTGCTGTTGGGCTGGAGTCCAATGCTGGTTGAACGGAGTAGACTGATCGCTGCAACGGCGGAACCGCTCGATTCATTCTCGGCCTGAATAGTCAATTCATCCTGTTTGTCCGAGTCGCAACAGAACTCCCAAGCTTGGGCATTGCGTGATCTACCCCGGGACAAAGTTGGGGGAAGACAGTCCGTCAATGCTGAGATAGGAGGAAGGGTGACACTTGTAAGGGTAGCTTGATTACGATGGGAAGAAGGAGGCCGAGGATAGGACAGCGGGCTGACACCGCAAGGAAAGGTTGGAGACGGCCTTGGCGATGGCGAGAGTTCATTCGACACAACCTCAGCCTTCCCTTCCAAGGACAGTGACAGTCGAATCTGGGATTGGCACTCGTATTGCGAACGTGGTGGCGGAAGGGGAGTATCGGGAGAACGCGAGGCTCCTGAGGATGGAGAACGCTGCTGTAATCTACGAAGTCCAGGTAAGTCCAGCTGCAAGCAGTAGAGGGGCTCTAGCAAAGGGAAGGTACCTCGATGACGAGCCCTCCTGACTGGATTCCGTAAGCTTAGAAATGCAACTTGTCGGGTCCCAGTGGTTAGCGTCATGTCTGGTGGAATTTGAAGGGAACTCAGCCTCGCTGAAGACCTCGCTCTGAGACTGGTCACGTGTTGGCGGCTTTCTGGATTCTGTATTGGTTTGGCTTCTGAGATCATCTCGGGTATCTCTATCCCATTCGTTTTGTTTATTGATGGCGCCAATTTGCAAGACGGGAGATCCTTCCGCTATGTTCTGATTCGGTCCAAGCTGGTTCCACACATGAGCTGTATTTCGCAGGGAAGACTCTCGGGTGTCTGTTCCAAGTTGATAACCATTTGTGGGTTGTGCCGGAGACAGTAGAACTCTGGCACCCCTGCTGCGTATCTCAGCGATGTCCTGAGGGGAAAGTGGTCGCGATTTTCGTCTATCATTTTGTCGTCGGTTCTGGAACCAGATTTGGACTTCCTTCTCATTGAGGGAGACGCTTTCAACAAGCTCACAACGCGACGCCTTGTCAGGTTTCGGGTTGACTTGGTATGCAGCTTCTAAAATGTGTTTATCCCTCGCTCTGGGAGTGTGGGTAGTCCTCTCGTCAGCTTCGAGTTCTATAGTTATGCAAAATACGGCCCCAGGGCGAGAGCCCGACCAAGATGGGACAATTTGGCAGTTGGTTGCTCGGGAAATGAGGTGTGACTATACGCAGTTCTCTTCCGTTTGCCTCTCGGGTGCTGCTTTTCAACCTTAGATTTGGAAGAGATTATCTCTGGACCAGATTGTTCAGGGGCGGGTATTCCACCTATATGTGGTTGGTACGCGGGCGCTGATGACAACATTGAAGACAGCAGTGTATGGAGGATGGCAGTGCAAGCGACGTCAAGGGATGGGAACAAATGAAGAACAGAGAGTATACTGTGGCATACACAACGTTGTTGTAAGAAAAGTAAGAAGGACGCGTCTTGAAGTGCCTCGGATCTTAGATATTAGCAAGAACGTGCATCATATGGCAAGTGAGAGTCAAAATGCCACAATATTCGAGTGCACGCTACGCGTTTTCTCTAATGCTCTAGGCTCTGCAATCCACTTATCTTTGGTTCATTGTGTCGCATAGGCAGGAGCACGACATGGTCCATAGGGGATCCAGGGGGGATCCACTCCCTAACTAAGGGCTTCGGACCTCGGGTATCAGGATATAATAGGGGCGGATACCGGAAAAGACCGGATAGGATCCAAATAACATAGTACCTATAACAGAGCCTTCACCACCTAAATCAAGAGTATAAGAGACTAACATAGATATAACTTAACACAATACACACACACGAGATTTCTGCTCTACTAAGTTAATTATCCAAGTGCTATTTAACGTGCGACATATTATACCTTAACGAGATTCGATATACTATATTGACCTAATAAATACGTCGACTAAACTATACCGTAATATGCAGGCCTTATAGACGTAAAAGTACTCTACTCTTTATATTGACTCTTACTTAAAAGCTCTCATGATTAAGATTTATTGTCTATAATAATAATAGTATAAGAAATACTCCTAATATAGCTAAATATAATAGTAACATATTTCTTAATACTGCCTATATATACAGGGTATTTCTTTTATATTCTAAGGATAGCTTTTTAATACTTAACTAATATACGGACACTAGTTTTAACTAATAACTATATATAGACAAGCGATTGATATTATATATTATATAATAGTGTAATCTAATTAGGTTGAAACCGCGGTTCTTACCTCGGGCAGTCTATATATATACAAGAATATAAGCCCTCTACAATAAAGGTAAAAGAGTATATATTACTTTAACTACTAGTTAAAGTAATAAGCTATATATAGTAAGAAAGAATACTATTAGAATATAAAAAACGTACGCGGAATTGTGTGTGTATTCGCTTATAGAGAAAAGGTTCCTCTATAGAAAGTATCTATGACAATTTATTATAAGGAAATAGAGCTTAGCAGGATTATACGTATAAACCGATCAATTAGCCGATGTTGCCGAATTAAACGGAACTCACGCCCTAACATCGAGCTTTGACTATTTAAAAATACCCCCTTAGAACGATAGAATATATCTAATAGTTCTAAAGCCTAGAATCCAGCGTAGAACAGGCCTAGATATTAATTAACGCGGTTATTAATTCAGAATACCACGCCTATAGACCACAGGCGCGTAATACAAGTAAAATCGACGAAACTATTAAGATAGCGATTATAACTATTACCTCCCTCCCGGGATACTATCGTAGAGGCACTATAACGCAGGCGCCGCGGTAGAACTAGAATAGTCGATAAACGGCGTTATCCTGACTTCGACCTTGTAAAGTTTTTAACGGACTTACTTTTCGTATAATAAGCGCCCCCGCTCCCCCCCCCCCCCCCCCCCCCCCCCCCCCCCCCCCCCCCCCCCCCCCCCCCCTCTTAGGCCAGAACGCTACGCGGAACCGATACGGGACTAAAAGGGGACCGCTATAACCCTTAGATCCGAGGATAGCTAAATTTAAGACAGTACATCAGGGCCTACTAGGTAATAGAAATATAATAGAATAGGTTATTAAGCTAGTAGAGGAACTAATTATAGTATGTTATAGCTATAGTACTATTACTATATTACTATTAGTATGCTTATATATTATTATCTGCTATATTATCTAAGATGAACTACGAAAAGGAATTAATAGAACTAAAGAGACCTAGGCTATGATCGTAGCCCGAGCTCCCGTGATAGCACTGCTATAGGACCCGGTCCCCCCTAAAATAATCCCTTGTAAATACTATGAGGGATTAATTATCCGCTATAAAGGCCTCTCCGAGGACCAGCCTCTCAACGCCAGGACTCTACAGGAAATTATCTAAGCTATAAACGCTATAACTACCCGACACGATACTTTTTTTCTTTTTCGGTTTTTTTTTTATATGCTTAAAACCCTAAAGCTAGAGCGTGGCGCCTATCGCCATAAGGGCCAAAGGCTAGCAGAACCTAAGTATAGTGAATCATGGTAATAAACCAAGGAAATCCTCTATAGTAATCTATGTAATAGACCTAGAAAAAAATAGGTAAAACCCAAATCAGAATGACTAAACCGTAGAATCCGAGGTTTACGCCCTATACCACTCCGCGGAAGCTATTTTAGTAGCTAAAAGACAGGCCTCTATAGTCTGTATCCCTCTTTTAGTACCGAATAATAGCGGTAGAGATAGCGGTAAGCCTGCCAGGGCTTCCCGCAGGGCTTTTCGTTTGTTTTTATATTATTAGTATTATTCTTCTTCTTCTTACTCCGCTACCCTCTTTAATCTATAGGAGCCTAATTTAGACTATATAGTCCTTCTCGGGTAGCTATAAAGGGGAAAACCCGGGATCCCGGGAAAAACCTCTATACTTATTCTTAGTTAGAGTAATACCGTTACGGGGCCGATATAGCCCCGGTTTATGCCCTCTGTATATCTAGATTATACCTCTAGGCTGGTGGCTAACGGGAAGGGTAATAAGCTATCGTTCGGGTTAGCCTAGGCCGGTCGTTAGTAAGGAGGCAGGGGGCCATAAGGGTGCCGCGGCGTTTCTACCGTGTAACGGCCGCGGCACACTATCTCCGGCCTCTTTACGTCCCCGGGGACTATTCCTATTATTCCTTCTATTCAATTAATAAAAAGAGAAGGTAAGGCAGGCGTTCCTGCCTCCCTTAGAGGCTGGGTGCCTACTATATCCGGCGGTAGGCACAAATGGTAGGGCTCCGCTTATACCTGTAAAAGAAATAGTAGATAATTAATAAAGGGTAAAGTTCTCCTCCTTTTCCTCTTTTTCTTCCTATAACGCTATAGAGCTTATTATAGGTGTTCCTTATTACGTTCCTGTTTACGGTCTTATAGGCTTATTATCGCGGCGTTATACTAACTAGTAGTATCTTCTAGTTTTTATTCTTTATTTATAATTGTCCTACTTAATTCTAGTATATAGACCATAGTTCGTGGGTAGCGTTATAGTAGCGCGGGGTTAACTAAGTAGTATAATAGTATTAGCAATAATAATTATAATATTAACCGTAAATAGTATCGTAATATAAGTATCTCTATACCGTGGTAGCAGTTTAGTAGTAGTATACTAATAGCTATAAATACCTTCTCCTAGTAATAATAATCGTTATTATAAATAAGGCACTATTCGTGTTATACCGTATATATACTCTAGTAGTACTAAAGTAGCATTATAGCAACTAATATATAGTAGTTACATACGTTATAGTAAGCGCCTAGGAACCTACCTAGATAACGTCGGAGCTTATACTAGTACTATAAGTACTAGTACTACGTGTTTTTAATACGGTAATAGTTAACACCCGTGTAAAGATATAAGTCGTTTTTATACCGTAAAGGTACCGTTAGTATATTAAGGTAGTCTAATTAGTCGATAAGTCCCCCCCGCTACTAAGAAGTAGTAATAATATCTTATAGACGTTTATACTCTTTACCTATTAGTAAAGACTAGTAATAGTAGTATCGCTACGGTAAGTAGTCTCGTTTCGATATCGCGGTAACGCCTTACTAATAACCTATAGGCTAAGGTGTATCCAAAAACGGCGGCTTTATCCTTTAGATAGGCCGTTACTCGGGCGCTACCTTCCAGTTATAGCTATAGCGGCACCTTATCGGTAAAGGTGGTTTTATAAGATATTCTCCGCCGGACTTACCGCCTAAACGGCATAATAGGCGTTCTAATACACTATTACGTGTATAGTCTCTTTTCGATTTCGCTATAGCGCCTCCGTAGTAATAGTATAGCTTACTAGTTCTAGGGCCTCGAGTATATTAAGAGTAGTATTAGCGCCTTTAAGGGGGGTACTACTAAGATTAACGAGGAGTAAAAGGGGGTATAGCCCGATAACGCTTTTATATTGCCAGGGTCCTAGATTACAGGGCCCTATTTAATACTAAACCAGACCGTTATATTACCTTTTCCCTATTATAGTGCCGCTATAATCCCGTCGGCTTTTATAACTTTAAGGGTAAAGCGAAAGTCGTTAAGCCTTTTTATTCATAGGAACTATTGAGCTATTATCCCGGCTTCTATATTATAGCCTAGTATATTATATATATCCCCTTTAATCGTAAGTCATCTCCCTATAGAATTAAAGAGCTTCTTAGGCTTATCCTTAGTCACGTCCTAGTATTACAGCATTATATACTCCGTTATTTCTACCCCTCTATTACCGTAAGGGCACCACGGTATGAGGAATCCCGGTACCCTCGGTTTAGCTAGGAAAGCTTATAGGCCTAGTGTTTTTAATCTAATCTAGGTAAGTGCGAAGCTTTATAGCTTAAGGAGTCCTTTATATTTCCGGAGGGAGTATTATATCCGGGGGCGGCTTAGTGCCGTTATAGCGTAGGTATAAGGCCGTTATACTTCCGCCTAGGCTTTACCCTATTCCCTTATAAGGGCTTTGCTCGGGGGCGAGTTTCCGGCCTAGGTTATTAGGGTGGTAAGCTAGGCTATCCACGCGAGGATAGTATAGGTCCTATAATACTAATTCGACATCGCTACGGCTCTCGCCGTAGCGTATACTCCGGCTAATATCTTATCTTCGGTGTCCTTTTCCTGTATCCGGAGGACCTTCTAGGTATTAAGGCATAAGAGGTATAGGTTAAGGGGGGAAATAAAGGTCTTTTTTTCGAGAACCCTAACCGGTATAGGCTTATAGGCTCCGGCTACTAGTCGAAGGTATCGGTTCTATATCGCTATAAGTACCGCTATAGGGCTATACTAGGGGCCGGCACTTATCTTATAGACGGCTAAGGCGTAATAGTCGACTATTAGTCTTATTACTATAAGATATAGTCTTTTTGTATCTACGAAGCTATACCCTTACGCTACTATACTAAGCCTTAAAAGGGCGTATATTTAGATAGCTAGTCGGCTCTTTACCCTTTTAGTATAGTATAATATCGGAAGTTAAGTTTCCTATTAAGCTAAACACCTAGGAGCCTTATCGCCTCCGCTACTAGCACCGAAGTAACGCTAAAGGGGAGTAGGGTAAAGGAGGGTTAGCATGATTTCG